ACTGATTTTTTTCCTGAAAAAATGGGCAACGAAAATTCCAACATAGCAACCATGGATAAAAATATTCTTTTTAATTGCCCCGATCATGTTTTTGATGAATGTTCTCAAATAAAATCTAACAATATGTCCTTAAAATGCGAAGCGTGTTACGAAGATCACCAAGACAAGAAGCAAGGCTACAAGTGTAATATCTGCGATTTTTATGTCCACGAAGAATGCATCAATGTCAATATTCCTTCTCATCATAAACACCCTCTCGAACTCACAAATCAGCATTCTTGGATGGTACGTGACACATGTTGTCTATGTGAAACCGACTTCCTTCCTACAATATATTACACTTGTATGTATCAGTACTGTAATTTCAATGTTTGTGTCCCTTGTGCAAGAAAACCTCTTTTCATCGCCCAAACTAAGGCCCACGAGCATGAACTCCACCAAATACCTATTAAACTTTCTTTCACTTGTGATGCATGTGGGTTAGACACTACTAAATACCCGTGTGTTTGTCTTCAGTGCTGTTTCATAATCCACAGAGCATGCATTCTCTTACCAAATGTTATATACATCAATCGCCACGACCATCGTATCTCTCGCGTTTGTTCTCCTGGTCCTGGAGAGTGGGTTTGTGTGATATGCATTAAACCTGTTAATGGAGAGTGTGGAGCATATTCTTGCATGCGTTGTCCTTATGTTGTTCATTCGAAATGTGCAACAAGTGATCTCATTTGGGATGGGAGAGAACTTGAAGGGGTACCCGAAGAAGATGAATTAGAAGAAAATAAGCCATTCAAAGTGATAGATCAAAACCTAATAAAACATTTCAGCCACGAACACAATCTGAAATTTTCCTTATCATCAGTAAGACTCGACGGAGAAGTCCTACCTCGTATGGAAGATAAACATTGCTATGCATGCACCCTTCCATTATATTCTGAATTATCCTACAACTGTACACAATGTGATTTTATTCTTCACGATGCATGCGCTAATCTTCCTCTGAAGAAAAGACACGAAGCAAGCACACAACAACTTACTTTGTGTGCCAAAGGTCAACATGGAAAAGCTTCGACTAGCAATTATTTTGTTTGCGAGGCTTGTCGATGTTATTGCACTGGTTTCTCATATATTGGTGGTAACGTGGCAATTGATGTGCGATGTGCTTCAAAATCTGGCATGGTTAAACATGAAAGCCATCAACATTCGTTGTTTGTACATGTTGAAGCGGGGAGAAGTGTGAAGTGTGAAGGATGTGGCTTACTTTGTTGGTTTCATCTACGTTGCAATGGTAAAGATAATTGTGTCGGCTTCAATTTATGCTTCAAATGCGCTACTCTACCCACATTGGTAAGACACAAATACGATGATCATCCTCTCTCCTTACGCTACGGTGAGCAAAATGTGAATTCTACATTTTGTTGTGGAATATGCGAAGAGGAAATATCCTCAAAAAGTTGGTTTTATAGGTGCAATGATTGCGCATCAACTCTTCATAATGAATGTGTATTTAAAAATCTAATACACTCAAGATCCGGATACAGTTTAGAGATGGATGATAAAGGGACATTTGATTTGCTTCCTAACAATTGTCTCTCTCGGCCGATTTGCTATAAATGCAAGACCCGTTGTATGGGTGATTTGGTTCTAAATGACAAGGCAGATACAAATATATTCATATGTTGTTCTTGTGGCTTTCCTGAGCTGCGCAAGCTATAGGGGATGTTGCGTGGAATAAATATAACTGATGTAGTAGACTTTGATGACTAAAGTGAAAGGTGCCTACTACAAATGTATTGCGACGCTTAGTACTGAAATTAATTTGTAGAATTTATATATATAGTTGCATCTATTATATGTATCTTGTACATGAAAATTGTATTGGTAAAATAATATTCACAGAGAAGTTAATTAGAAATATTCTCTTTTTATCAAAATCAAGTTCTGTCCATCAAGCTAGTTATAATTATTTGTTCACCCAATAACCGATCGATATTGGAAACGTGAATCTTTTTTAAAAACAAGCTTTGCGATATTTTGGCAAGGGAAATGATCTTACAAACATAAAAAAAAAATGATACATCAAACATTTTAAGTGGGTCAGATTTGTGAAAAAAAAAACAAAAAAATGGAAGTGAAAGAAAGGAGAGAGCAAAGCAAGTCAGAAGAAGAAGAAGCTCCATGAACCCAGTTATTTCACATCTCCTCGGGTTCCGGCGTTCAGATTTCCAGACTCTCCTCAGGCAGAAGTGGTTTCAAAATTGATGTACACACACTGCAGTAGTAAATATG